GACAACTGGTACAGAGATTTATCCATCACCTAGCTGTACACAGATTAAGGGTGTAAGGGCCCTTTCCGTATGGAAACACTGAGCCATTTCCTTAAAAGGTCTGTGCCGGCCTCCTGGAGCGGGAGGACAGTGCCCTGTGCTAGGGGAGATAGCGCACATATTCAGCATTGCTGTCCTGACAAGTCACCTCCTGATTAGGCTTCAGCGGAATTAGTGTTCCTTAGTTCCAGGACAAGCTTGCTTCTAAACACCGGAGCTCTAGGCGTTTCAAAAGTCCCACGAAAAGAGCCTAATTTACAGGAATACAAATATGCCTGCCCCTGTTTACTAAACAGCCCGAGAGAGAAGAACACTTGGAAATGCCTGTATCCACTCATGCCAAATTCAACATTTTCTGGATTGCCGCTTTTTGGAACAAGCACTACTCTTCCTCAAAAAATTGAAAACAGAATTACAACCTGGTCCAGATATTTCACTTCTGGGTATGAAACCCCTAAAACTGAAAGCAGGGTCATGAAGAGTTATTTGTACACCTATGTTCAGAGCATCATTGCCCATAATGGCCAAAAGGCAGAAGCAACCCAGGTGTCCATTAATGGGTAAACAAAGTGTGGTCTATCCACACAATTATTCCGTTTTAAAAAGGAAGGACATTCTGACACACGCTACAACACGGGTGAACTTTGAAAACATGCTCAGTAAAGTCAGGCAGTCACAAAAAGACAAAAGCTATACACTTATGTGAAGTGCCTAGAGGAGTTAAGTTCATAGAGACAGAAATTAGAATGGTGGGTGCCACAGTCGGGGCATGGGGAATTGAAAGCTATTGGCAGAGTTTAGTTTTTGCAAGATGAAACGACTTCTGGAGATGGCTGCACAACAATGTGAATGTACTTAACACTACTGAACTGTACACTTAAAAGTGGTTATGATGGTAAATTTTGTTACATGAATTTGCCACAATTGTTTGAAATATCTCTCATTTAAAAAGTCCTCCTGTAGCAAGGATTACTACAGCCCATGAGACTCTCTCAGCTGTGGATATAATTAGGCACCGCGTCCGTTATAACGCTGTAGACGTCATCGTGTGTTACCAGCATCTGTTGACAGATCTCATACCTAGCATATCACTGAAATGGCAAGTGTGGAGAAGGTGGCCCACAATAGAAACAATGGCATTTTATCCTCGTCCTGTTCCAACAGTTTGTCTCACAGGACATAAATAGAGGCCGCTGCTCTGGCTGCACTGAGCTCACAGCTCAGTATTATTTTACTGACTTGAGTAGTTCTATACCAAAAGAAAAAATAGAGTATCTTCTGGAGCTATTCAAGTCTGTGTCCTAATGTAGTGTTTTGTTTTGTTTTGTTTTCCCCCAGCATCTACAATACCCAATCTATCTTAAGAAAAAAATTAATTCTCACTTTAAATTTTTTAACATTATCTTGAACTGGGATCAAAAAGTATATCCATTTTTTAATAATATACATCAAATGCTATACAATTATAATAATATATACTTATACAGGAATCCCAAACCTAAGAAAATTACAATGTCATTATATTCAAAAATATTTTGAATACATTAAAATTTTAAATATGGCAGAAGAAGTGTCAATGTGGTATTCGGAAACTGACATGAGCTCTATCCCGTTACTGTCCTGTGCTTTGAAAAAAAAACAACAGAAACCACTGTGATTAGACTATTACTTCCAAAACTGATGGGCAGGCACCTGTCCAGTTCCTTAGCTATTTTACTGTTCCTCATAAGAAAAAAAAAAGCAATCTTTGAAACAAAGATTTAGTTTTGTTTTTAATCAATGGAAAACGTAATAATCAAAGTTGTGAGAAAAATACACTGCTAAAAATTAGTCACTTTTTAACATCTTGCTGATTGGTGATGTATCAACTAGTCCAGATAACACAATCATCCTCAGGCCATGTGTTTCCCCCACAATAAGTCATTTAAAAAATGGTGCAAGGTTTGAAATTTTATTTTCCTTTCTAGACTCAACTTCTATTGGGTTGTTGGAAAAGTCATGATGCATTTTGGCAACGAAAAACAGAAAAAATACATGATGACTTTTCCGACAACCCAATACTTCTCATTCCCATTCTCTTGTTTCCAAGAAGGTAGGAATGGTGGAAGTCTTAGGAAGCTAAGGTGGGAAATGAAATGTAGCTAAATTGAAGCTTTAAAATAACAATAAATGGTATTTTATGAGAGGATGCACAGCAGAGGAATCTTGATATAAAGTGCTTGGTTATTTCATAATTATCCAAATACGGGACCTCTC